TGAGAGAGAGAATGAGATAGAGAGAGAGAGCATGAGAGGGGGGAGGGTCAGAGGGAGAAGCAGATACCCCGCTGAGCAGGGAGCCCGATGCGGGACTCGATCCCAGGACTCCAGGATCACGACCCGAGCCGAAGGCAGTCGCTTAACCAACTGAGCCACACAGTTTATATTTTCTTTACTTTTGTATGATACAACTTAAATTTAAAAGGGACACTGGATGTTGTGCACAGAGGTGACTGCAGGGGGTTAGGGTAGAAACACATGACCACTTAGGACACTACTGCAGAAATCAGACACTAGATGGCGCTATTAGTGGGGGCTGGTGAAGAGTGGTTGGATTCTGCCTGTATTCTGAAAGTAGAGCCACATGATTTTCTGATGGATATTATGTGACATGTAAAACTATTCTCATTATCTATAGTTGGAGCTTAAAAAGTCGTCATACATTTCTTTTGTAGTTTTATCTTGTTTAAAATTTTTTAAATGAGCTTACTTATTAACCAGAAGAAGTACAGATTTTTTTGTTTGTTCTCAAGACAATAAAAACAATTACTAAGAAAACAGTAGTTCAAAGGCATTGTCATCTTCGAAAGAATGGGATAATATATTCTGGGGCCATGTTTAGAGAATAAAGGTCCACAATCTCATCTAAAACCTTTGGTGCCAGAAGTTTCACAATTCAGTAAATTTCAGATTTTAGAAACATAATATACAGCACATGGAGCCTATTATGTAATCCTCAAACAGGGTCCGGGGAAATTCTCTTTAACCAAATGCATTAATATTTCTGCAGTAACACATAAGAATATTCATACTAAATGACATAAAGATCATAAATGGTCTTACATCAGATCAGGTTAGGCTTATTACCAATTGAGTTTGGAGCTGAACTTAGGAAAACATCTTTTGGTTTACAGAATCTTTTAGATTTTGGCATTGTACATAAGGAATTTCAATTCAGGTTGGCATATATTTATTTAGTACCTATTATGTGTCCCTGATCTTGAGGACCTTATATGCCATGCATCAAAGCAGTAAACCAGCAACTTTAATAGAAGGTGGGGACATTCCAGGCAGTGGGAACAAGAGAAAGACATAAGGCTGTTATGAGTGGGCTGTGTTCAGAGAACAAAGTAGCCCAATTTAATTTGTTCTGTTTGAAAGAACGTAAGATTATATATTCTAATAAAGTAGGCAGCTGATGTTTGAAAGGTTATGTTTTGTCATGTTTCTTTAATCATTATCAGCATGGTACTTTTTGTGAGTATTTTGTGTGTGTGTGTGTGTGTGTGTGTGTGTGAGACGAGGGTGTGGGGGGTAATATTTCAAAGGTTAGGATCATTGGTGAGGCCTCAGAGAATTTAATGTTCTGGGTAGTAAGTAGCTGAAAAGGCTCTCTGAATCATTAATGCAGGGATAGATGACTAAGAACATTTCTGTGGGTTGGGCCCATTCAGCATGAAGCTTAAGACTTTCTGAGACTGTTTAGCAGCCTCTACTCTTCCATGGAAGGCACCAGGGTATACCATGTAAGCAACCAGCTTTGGGGACCCTTGGCTCAGACCCTACAAGAATAGGACTACACTGAGGCAGTCTACTGAACTGAGTTCCATTTCTTTATTTTATTTTTTTTAAAGATTTTATTTATTTATTTGAGAGAGAGAATGAGAGACAGAGAGCCCGAGAGGGAAGAGAGTCAGAGGTAGAAGCAAACCCCCAGCTGAGCAGGGAGCCTGATATGGGACTCGATCCCAGGACTCCAGGATCATAACCTGAGCCGAAGGCAGTCGCTTAAACAACTGAGCCACCCAGGCGCCCAGTTCCATTTCTTTAGGAAGCGATGTGAATTTTTTAGCACTGTAAAAGGAAAACACCATTAAATCCTTATCTTAATCAAACATGATAAGCTGAGTGGTTTCAACGCTTAGTGAGATTTCAGGTAGGACAGGCCATTCTTGGAAGACCATTTGGGCAGGAGCTGCTCTTACGTATTCAGTGAGAGTGGCTTATTACCTAAATAGGAAAGGAGTTAAATGATATTTTCACAATCGTCACTTTCTCGATCAGCTAGAGGACTACGGCAATCAAAGGGCTGGCTTCAGTCCTGATGGATGTAGCAAGGGAGGGAGAAGGATGCTGCTTGGTTGCAGGGCTGCCATCAAGGTGCTGCTAGCCCGAGGAGCAACACAGGCAGCAGGCCAGGTCTCTCCCCGATACAGCTGCTGTCAGCACCCAGACCTCGGGCCTGGAGCTGGGGCCTGTTTTACAACCTGAAGGGTTCTTTCGTGCTGTGGTTTCCACAGAATGACACCCAACGGTCTCCAGCTGGTGTTCATCCAGGACGGCTCAGTGAGACTCACACAGCCGCCTCCCTTCTACTGCCACCAGGATCAGCACGGAGCTACTGGAGCTCTGCGCTAGCCTCAGGCTGCGTGTAAGGAAACTGAACTCGAAGGGCTGGCTGGGACTGGCTGTCGAGGCAGGAAAATCTGGGTTTGAGTGTAGCCTTTTTCAACGTCTTGATGTGAGACCTCTGGCAAAGGCTTTTAACTTCTGGTTAAAACTTGTAAAAAGAGGGAGAGGGATACATACCTCATAGTTTTGGTATGATGATTAAATAAGACAAGGTAGAGAACCTCTTCCCACTGGCCTACAGTCATTCGAATTCCAGCTCTTTTACTCAAGGGCCTGCAGGGTTTCCATGCTGTAGTCATAGTTCTTTTTGAGGAATGCCTCTTGCTGGCCGGACTAGGAGAACAGTCATGTTCCCCTCCAAGCCTTGGTCACAGGGGTCAATACCATAAACATTTACTACCTTACTCTGTGTGCTTCCGGACACTTGGAGTCAACAGCAGAAGCAATTAATATATGGCATGACTCCCAGGGAGCAACTGTGATGAGAAAGTACTTGAGAATAAGCTCTGATGCTTACCACTTCACGCTTTTCCACTTCAAACCAGCGGGAAATTCCAGGTAAACTCTGCACCAAGTATAATGATGTTCTCTCCACCCAGAGACTCTACGGAATACAAAACAAATTAAGTCCCCAAGTGTCCCTTCTTCCTAGTTACTGAGCTATGACTAACGTTAGCCATGCGATTTGGTCAGGTTTGCTTATTTCTGTAGGCTTTTCTTTAGTATCCCTTCTAGCATGTGGGTAATCCCTTCACACTCGTGAAGCCTTCACGGTAAGATACCACTGATGCCGTGTTAATCATTCCCATTCTGTGTTGTCGGACACTTTTTCCTGTGTGGAATACATCATCTACTGCAGACAGCAAGCTTAAAATAGAGTAACACCACAGTTATTTCCTTTGCTAGTTCTTTCACATTCCAATTTAAACCCCCTCACTCCTTAAGGTCTTGCCATTTTTATCTGGAAGGGGTAACAGTATCAGCTAGTCAACACAGGTTTAGAATAATAACATCCTCACAGAGGAAAGGTCCATGAAGAATCACGTAGCTCCACCTTTCTATTTTAAAAAGGGAGATGCTAAGCATCCAGGAGGCAATGTGACCTGCCCGGGGGTACATTCTAGTTCCCAGACTCTACCTACTGGAACTTCTGACTTCCTCACTGTGCCACATTTTCTCACACCCATTTGAACTGCCATCATCCAGGAGGATCCGTATTTCAAGAGCCGAGGCTTCCCCTGGCCAGGAGAGCACCCCCGTGACACGGGAAGCCACAGCTGCCTTGATAAGAGCCGCTGTGGGCGACAGATTTCTCTTGTGTCAACCATGTTTCTATGTCTATGCCTCATTTTTCTCAAGAGGATAATAAACTTCACAAAATCCCTGAAATAGTGCCACTTATTCCAGAACAACAGAAACTGGGAGGATTTCTTCGTGTCAGCCAAGATATACTGAAATGAATATGGCAGAGTCCCTGTGCCGGCAGCTGGAAGCATCGCGGTGGTGACAGGGAGGTGAGGGCATGGTAGGGGTGACAGGGAGGTGAGCACGGAGGGAAGGGCTCAGGGCAAAGAGAAAGGAACGCTGGGCTCAAGGTGCCGGGGGAGAGCAGAAGGAAGCAGGCAGGCAGAGCAGCCTGTGGGAGGAGGACGGCACTTCTCAGAGGAGGTGACACGTGAGCTGAATGCTGAAGAGTGAGTAGGAGTTTGCCAGGCGGAGGGAGGGGGAGCGCTGCAGGCAGCAGGAAGAAGCCCACGCAGAGACCCTAGCGAGCGAGCCAGCGAGCGAGCCAGGGGCTGGAGAAAGGGAAAGGGCACGCAGAGATGGGGAAGAGAAGTTCGGTCTCACTGGAGCCCCAGAGGGAGGGTGGGCAAGTGGGATGCGGTGCAGATGAGGCTTCTGAGGGGCAGTTTGGTGCCAGATGCTGAGGGCTGGAAGCACAGGAATGAGGAGCCAGACTTATCAATATTTTCTAGGGGGACTGCTATAGCACTGATAAATATGCTGGAAATGAGCTGGAAATGCGCTGCAGCAGGAAGTGCAAAGGAGTAGGTACTGGAAGGTGTGGGTTGTAGTGTAGGGTTTCCGGGTAGTTAGAATGTGACTTTGAGCAAGTCACCTGCCTGACTCCAGCAGATCTCAGACTTTGTATTCAGTGTCACCAACCGCAACGAAAGCTGTATCATAAACTAATGATCGTTAATTGGTTTTGTGGGACACAAAGAAAAATGTAAGTATCCAAAAGGACTAGAAATGATCACGGATCTTTTCAATGACATCCCCGTACTGTCTTCCAATAGTTTCTTTGCCTTGATAGGTAACCCATCGGATCTCCTTGCACAGAGGACTGCCCTGTGTGGAGGCCCATCGTGACACTGCAGAGCGACCCCAGCTTCCCCTTCTGACTGCCCGGCTGTGCCCCATTCCCGGAGCTACTGCTGTGGGCGCTGGGAACTGACACTTAGGCAGAGGAGAGAAGGACAGTTAACATCAGAGATCACTGCTAATAGTGTTAGGAGGACGTTTCCCAGCTTAAGTAGAGACTCTGTGATAAAAGAAGCTAAACCAATTAACCCACAGTAATAGGTCAGTTTTGTAGGGGGGGGAATACTGACTAACCAGGGATCTATCTGGTCCCACTTTGTCACTGTTATCAAGGAAAGAAGAGATTATAACGTATCTGTGGCACAATCCCCTAGTAGGGCTGTTAGACAGTCCAAGAGAGCTTGGGATGGCAAGGCTTATTACAACTGCTGAGAATGGACGACTCAGCACATGCAAGGAGTCTATGGTTGGCTTTTACTCGGTGTCTTCTCAGAAGTCCTAGTGACACACCATTCTAACAAGAAAGAGCAGAAGATCACACAGAAATCTTTCACTGTACCAGCAGTCTACCTAACTGTTCCCTGTCTCAGATTCTTCATTTCCCCTGTCGGTTAAGCATTCTTTACTCACTGCACACTATCTGAGAACAAATATCCTGTGGTCCCCACCGTTGGTTCAATATGAGTGAATAAGAAGGCTGAGCTCAACCGTGACATCTCAAAGACTGGTCTAAGGACCACCAGCATCGTCACAAAGAAGCTGATTCCAGGCCTTCCTCTCAGACCTACTGAGTCAGGATTCCTGAGCTAAGAAGTGTGCTTGGTTAGAAAAGCACCCCCATGGCACTCTGATATACAGTTGAGTTTGAGATCAACAAGACTCAGTGGTTTCTAGTCCCTTCTGCTTCTATCACTTGACTCTATTCTAAATAAATACTTATCGAGGGGCTTGTTCCAAAGAGCTCATGGGAAATCGTATGTAATAAGAACTGCACGGTACCTTGAATTCATTTTCTTTATCTTTAGTCCCTTTGTGAAATGGTCTGTCATAGCGGAATTTCCAGATATGATTCACTTTATAGAAACTTTTGATGTTGTCCGGAACACCCTCTCTCTGCAGGACCTCCTGGCTCTCCGGGATGGGAGTCACGGCATAGATCTGCAAATCTAGGATTAAAAAGTCAAGGAGGAAACCCGACTTGGCAAACGCCATGGAAATCTGGCTTGAGCTGAGCTGTGGCAGAGAGCAGAGAATGGGTAAACAATCTGGTGTTTCCACCGGGTCGAAGTCATTTAAAAAATGTCAAGAAGGGGCCAAGAACTCAGTTCATGACAAATCATTTCTCAAACTACAGGCCTTGAACTAGTTTTAGGGAGGTGATTCTGACAAAGTATCTGTTTAAAATGTCTATAACGTGTGAATTTATCACTGATTTTTTTTTCTTCTTTCTTTTCTTGGTAGGGGGTGGGTGGGAATGGCTTGGATCTTAGGTACTCAGAATTGTATTATTCTAATCCTTAAGAGACATTCCAAGCATGGCCCCTCTTAACTAACGTTTGTTTGTAAAATAATGTATAAATACCCATGCAACCATGACCAAAGACAATAACCAGTTCTGACAGTGATTTATATTTACCTGTGTGATGCTCTGTGTCTCCAGCCCTCCCACACTTGTGGTATCACTCTCCCAAATCTTATACTGATAAGCAGAGTGTTGTTGTAGTTGATATTTAAAAAATTACATTAAAGGGGTATCATATGAATCATTGAACACTACATCTAAAACTAATGATGTACTATATGTTGGCTAATTGAATTTAAATTTAAAAAAATAAAGGGGTATCATATTTACTTGTATATTTACCTTCTTCTCTTCTCATTCAAAGAAGGATAGCAAAATCTTTTCCCTTATGTAATTTCTTGCTTCTGTTGCATTTTATTTTCTACTTTGAAATGGGATCCGTGATTATCAATGGGAGTTTCTTGTCTTCTTCAAGATCTTAAGTTTTGGGAGGAGACAAGCATTCACAAAGGAGTGCTGGGGTGAATTCCTTTTGTTTCTAGTGCCTGGATAATTTCAGTTGAGTTGTTTGTATTTAGATAATGAAAGTGTCAATTACATAGCAATCATCAAAGGCTGTCCAAAATGCCATGGCTAAGAATCCCCCAGAGATACTAAGGTACCTCCTTCTCTGCACTTCCTTCCAGAATAAAAATATCAAGGGAAAAGGGGGTGAATGATATGTGCCAGGAAATATAATGCTATTATTTCCTCCAACTGAAGCAGTTTCCACAGGGTATGTTGGAGGAAAATTATTCTAAGGGAAATCACTAAAAGGAGCTTTAAAAGCAGGGTGGAGATATAGAAAAGTTTTAATTAAAAGGAAAAAAAAAATTCTTTACCAGAATCCTTAAGGGATTTCCTTTCAACTGACATTGTGATAGTAACTAGAACATTTCTGTTCAGAAGGAGCTAAGCTAAAATCAAGATGAGTGAGAAAGAGGGAGAGTAAGAACATGGCAAAGAGGCCAGAGGCTGAACAACCTTGCAGGAAAACACTCTGCAGCAAACGGCCAGTGGCCCTAACTGCAATGCAGCCCGTCTAGGTGTGGATACACTGAGCTTCCGCCTGGAAGATGGTCTCGTCGGGCTGGTTGGCATGCTGCATAGCGATGGCGTGGGGGAACTCGTTCAGCATTCTCTGTTGGAAGGCCTCCAGCCTTTCGTAGTCATGCCCTCGACACACAAACTCCTTATTCTGGAGGTGCAATAAACAAAGAAAAGAGAGCCATGTAATTGAGTGCGTTCCTTACAGAAAGAAGCCAAAAAAGAGGGCCGTGGCAGGAAGTGAGCACATGCCTCACATCCATACACTGTAACAAAACCCCCCCAAGAACAGTCTGAAAAATTTGCCCAGGTGTGAAAAATGCGAGGCAAGGATCCCGAGCTTCCCTCTCTATTGCTTTTGGTCGGAGGCCCCAGCACGTGCCCCTCCTCCCGGATCGTGTGCTAATAAGGTGCAAAGAGGCATCGGATTCTCAGAGCACCAAAACATGAAACAAAGCAATCATGTTCCCTCTAAATGCTGATGAGCACATGTGTTAAAGATTTTTTTTTTTAATATAAGCTGGGTATCAGAGTTTAGTGGATAAAGTCTCAATAGGGAGGAAAAGAAAGTAAATTCGATCTCCAAAAGTGCATTTTATTGCATTCTTTATCAAGGCCACAGAGATGGGCCTCCACACTGGATCCCGGCATGGAATAAAGGAAGACTGAGCCTGTTCGTACTCCTGCTCTCAGCAAGGCTGGCCCAGGAAACTTCTCTGCCATCACCAACTCAGCTCAGCTTCCTGTGGCCAAGAATCTTATTTACTGGCCTAAACTGAGATTTAGGGTTTGTAGGGACTTGCCGAATGTTGGATACATTCTTTTCCTGTTTTTTTTTTTGTTGTTGTTGTTCGTTTGTTTTGTTTTATAAGATGTATAAGTACTCTGTGGGCCAGGACTGTATCTCGTTCAGGTAAAAATGGTGAAGGTTATCCTTGAGGTAGGCTAGAGAGCTGGAAAGGTGGGCAGGTTTCTTTAAAGCACCTTACTGGGGACGCCTGGGTGGCTCAGTCGGTTAAGCGGCTGCCTTCGGCCTGGGTCATGATCCCAGGGCCCTGGGATCGAGTCCCACATTGGGCTCCTTGCTCAGCAGGGAGTCTGCTTCTCCCTCTCTCTCCCTCTGCTTGTGCTCTCTCTGTCAAATAAATAAAATCTTAAAAAAATAAAATAAAATAAAGCAGCTTACTGGTCAGGTTAGGTAAGAGGGAACTCTGCCAGCTTAATGGTTATGAAGTTCCAACTGCTTAAAACAGCCAATGACAAGGCACTCTGTACATATCTTACTTAACCCACTAAACTTGAGAGGTAGTCACTCCCACATCCCACCCCGTTTTAGAACTGGGAACTGAGGATCAAGATCCTTCTGTACTTTGTTCATGTGTACTGTATTTAAGCTCAGGTGTGGGACCAAGGCCTGAGCTCTGTACAGCCAGAAAAAACTCCTAGTTGCTACTGGGACCACAAAAGGTTGTGGGTGACATGCCCTGAAGATCTTTAAGAGAAAGAGGGAGTGGTTCGTGGTCTGGGGGAGCTAGCTAAGGCCCAAGGTTCTCAGCGTTTCTCAGCCTGATGAGGTTCCTATGCTTGCACAAAATGCCCTAAGGAAGAAATCTGAGCCAGGGGCAGGGGGCTGAGGGTTGCAGCCGAGAAAAAGCAGCTGCAGAGGAAACAGCAGGGAGTGGGCTCTGAAAGCCTGTCACAATTCCTCATAAACCCCCAAATCATGATCCTTTGGTAACACAGGCTAAGACAGACTACCTAGAAATCAGGACCCCCACACAATCCCATGTTTAAAACTGTCTAGATAAAAGAAGGTATGCCTTCTGATGCTATGTATTTTTTATTCTACTCAAAAGATAATAAATTTGCTTGATAAAATAAGACTACATATGTATATATATGTATGTATATAAATATACATACATATATGGTGCATATTATAGAAGTCCCCAAATAAATATCCGAGTACTCTAATAACTGCAGCCTTTTTAAGGCACTGCTTACATATTACAGCAGTTTATAAAATCAGGGGTTACTCTAAGCATATAATCATTCAACGGTGTTAAGAAGTCATTCTGAAATAAAAATAAATTTGGGGACTGATATTGGAGTTGTCAAGAAATTAAAAGGAATTAAAAGCATTTCCCCCATCAATACATTTTTTTTTAATCACAGCTTTGAAATATAGTTCACATACCATAAAAGACACCCTTTTGAAGGTTTTTAGTATATTCACAGACCAACTATCACCACTGCTGAATGTGAGAACATTTTCATTACCTCAAAGAGAAACTCGTACCCATCAGCAATCACTCCGTTTCCTCCAACATCCCCTCAGCCTCTGAAACCACTAATCTACTTTGTTTCTATGGATTGCCGATTCTGGACATTTCAAATAAATGGAATCATACAACATGTAGTCTTTTGTTACTGGCTTCTTTTACTTAACATGATATGCTTAAGGTTCATATATCAGTACTTCATTCCTTTCTTACTGCTAAATATTCCATTGCATGGATATACCATATGTTGTTTATCCATTCATCGGTTGATTGTTATTTGGGCTGCTTCCACTTTTTGGCAATAGTGATTAGTGCTACTATGAACATTTGTGTACAGGTCTTCGTGGGGACATATGTTTTCAATTCTCTTGAGTATATACCTAAGAGTGGAATTACTGGGTCACATTTGTTAATGCTTAAATTTTTTTTATTGTCTTTTTCTTTTGAAAAGGAAATACAGATCTATGGTAAAAAAAAAAAAAAAAAAAATCCCAAACAGTACAGAGCATACAATGAAAAGTAAATCTCTCTCATCTTTGACCTTGGTCATTCTTCTCAGACAAATCTCTATTCAGAGATATTCTGTGCATAAAGAGATTGTCAGTTTTTCATGAGGGTAAAAAAACTACTCAGATCATATACTTACGTAAATGTATTAATTTACTGCAGCTTGAAAAATTATCTTGGAATTGATCAACAAGTAAATTTTTAATGTTGATATTTGCTTTTTTTTTTTAATTGAAGGACAGACTAGAATATGATTTCCTAAAAAGAGGCCCAGCTCATGATTCCGAAGGGTGTGGTGCCCTTTAGAAACCAATAGAGGGTGACCCTTCTCTTCATTTTGAAGAAAATGCCATTTATATCTAGAAAAGCTGTTTTGAAAAGACTAATAACATAGGTTGATTTTTTTCTAATTGACTTTCTAACAAAATTTATTTTATTAGCCAATATAGTTTTCTAATTTGCTAAATTCCCTTTAAAATTGTGGCTCCTAAACTTCTTCTGATTTTTAAAAAACTTTACACTTTTAATTATCACAGTTTCATTTACAAGATGAACATCTAGGACACTTTACAGTGCACTTGCTAGCTGAACTCAGAATTTGATCAGGGCTACAATATGACTTTTGTGGGCCCCTTCCTCTATAAAAACTTATTAAAAATCATACTGAGAGGGGCGCCTGGGTGGCTCAGTCAGTTAAGAGGTTGCCTTCGGCTCGGGTCATGATCTCAGGGTCCTGGGATCAAGCCCCACGTTGGGCTCCCTGCTCGGTGGAGAGTCTGCTTCTCCCTCTCCCTCTGCCTGCCTCTCTGCCTACTTGTGCTCTCTCTCTATATCTCTGTTAAATAAATAAATAAAATCTTAAAACAAAATCATACTGACTGATTTGGTATAGGGACAAATAAATACATAATAATGTAATGTCTGATATACAACTTAATAGACATTATAACAATTTCTTCAACCAAAAAAATTCATTTTTCTTCTGATCTTTAAAAGAAATTAAAATACTTTTGTAGGCAATATTACGACTCGTAAACACTGTACCCACCGTATGTAACAGATCGATTAGCCCTGAGTATGATGTGGAAAAAAAAAAGTAATCTTTTACTTTGCCTGATTTTGAGCCGAGAAAGGAAGGGGGTCTGCTGCACCAGAGTCACGTCTGGACCCTCCTGTGGAGTCTCCAGCCCTCTGCGCCAGACTGTCCCCCTTCTACTCACCACCTGGATCCTAGCCATGTACACTGGGCAGGGGGTTGCTGATGACAGCCCGGGCCTAGAATGTCCACTTTCAAAACTTAGTCTTTCAAAGTCAGAGAGTGTTCTAAACCTGTCTCTGTTTTTGATCCAGAATCAAGCTTTCCTTTGTCCTTAGATCCATCTGCACAGTCAGCCTTGTGACCACGTACACCACCATGCAGATTCCCTTTTAACCCAACAAGGAGATTTTTACTTATTTTTTTACTTATGTCTGCATGGCAGAAATACATGGTCATTTTAATCAACCTGTCATTTGAGTGTGTGCTCGATGTAATACTAAAATGAATTTTTGCCTATGGTGTTTGGATATTTTGGACTCCAGATCTATATTTAGTGTATATGTATATATATACATATATATATATAAACTTTATATGTAAATATATGAATAAACAAATACATATAAAACTTTCATTCTAAAAGGGAGCTAAGTTAATGATTATTAAACAAATAATGCAGTCCAATCTTTCTCCTCTCTCTCCTCCTCCAAGTACCCCAATCCTATATTTATTCATATGTGCTGGCAGTTAAAGCAGGATGCAGGGCAACACAAACACCAAAGTATTTGTATGCTGAGATCTAAAGTTTGTAATGAATTCACTCAATTATTCCAGATACTTCTCCTTAGTTACTTGGGGAGGTACATTTCCTCTCCCAACCAGTGTTTTCATATAAGTAAGTGTAAGTAAGATGTTATACCCTGAAGGGTTAAGGTAAGTCTTCAAGCGTGTGACATATGACTTGGCACAATGTAAAAAATGGTAAGAACAGAGTCAAATATTTTATGATCCACTAGGTACTTTCGAATGTCTGGAAGATTTTCCTTGGCAGAAATAGTTTGTACTAGCAATAAATGGGATCTCTTGGCTGGGTGACATTTACCTTTTCACAAAACCACTAACTGGGCTCTTCATGTGATTCTGGAGGGAGTTGCTACGTGACATCGCCTGCCATTTTTCTCTAGTGCTAACTCTATGGAAATCACAGACTGAACAGAAGAGTAAATATCAATCACACAGGGGAGCAGCTATAATTACCAAAGACGGCTCATAAGATACAGTGAATTTAGAAATTTAGCAAGAAAAATCAAATCATTATTTGATAGCTTGGGAAATTATTCAAAACAAGGTATTCTAGATTTAGTATGGTGTCTGCACACTAAAAAGTTAAAGGAAAAATCTCATGATGTTATTGTACTAAAAGGACAAAATGCCATTAAACATCTTAGTTTCCTTGACTGGGATATCTATTTTGGAAGTATAACAGCAAATTAAATAGTGTTTTAACTTACTCTTAAGAAAAATGGAAATTTTTTCCCATAAAAGCCAACTCTGAAGAACTCTGGTTCAAGACGTTGCTGGTCCATAATTTTGTCATACAAAGAGGCTTCCATCATCTAGGAAAGCAAAAGAGAAGTTCTAAGAATTTCATCTCATCCTTCAGCTCTCCCTATTTATAGAAGAGTATGTTTCTTCTATACAAAGGAGAACTTCACTGTAGTTTTCAGTTTGCAGCAAAGAAGGTTTCACTCCCTTTCTGTGCTTTAAGGGAGGGAACAGCAAACTTATTCTGTAAATGGCCAGAGAATAAAGAGTTCAGGCTTTTCAGGCCATATGGTCCCTGTCACAACTACTCAGTCCTGCCAGGTCCACAGGCTACAGGTTGCTGATCCTGCTTTTAAAGGATCAAATATTATTCCATGTTCTCACCAGAGAAAATAATTTCTACGCACAAAGCCTATCAAGAAAGTATTTTCTTCACAATGAATATGAACATGAATTTTAAAAAATGAACGAACTATTAGAGGCCAAATCTTTCTGGAGAATTCTAGTGCCAGATGTACTCACCTGTGGATTTGGTTCTCCTTGGTCATGGTAATTCAGGACATGTGGAAGGTGCAAGCTTGCACAGGTTGGACAGGGATAAACCAAACCCAAGGAGACCCATCGCGCAAAGTGCTGTCTGGGCTGAAAGCTCTTAAGTGTGTCCCTCACAATGCTGGCACTATGAAGCACATAAAGCTTATGGCTTTCCATTCACGGTATTATCATCCCCAGGGTTTATGCAGAAAGACTAATACTGCTCTTGAAAACTTCTCCCCCCACCCGCCCCCAGTAACAGCACCCCAAAGAGCAGTTGGCATGAAATGTAATGCTTTGGGTTTATAAAAATCGGAGTGACTATGGTACCCAAGGGCCCTCCCAGGTAAACACTGTAACCTCGCTTCTGTTACAGGGGGTGTATGCCAAGAGAAGCACAGAAACGTTTTCATACAAAACTGCAGTGCCTGCCAGAGCCAGCACGATGGACTGAAGTTAAAACAAGGTGTTTTTTTTTTTTCTCTTTGGTTTTCATGCTGGGAGAAACATCGTTGAACCACTGGCATGAAATACTACACTGGCAGCACGGGACCAGTTCCTACAGGCTGAATGAATTACGTGTGGGGTAAGGGATTTTATGAGCTGTTAAAGGTTGACAATATCATCTCATAAACCACTACCTCAGAATTAAAAGGCAACATCATAATCTTCTTCCTATTTTAGAAACCCTGCGGAGCTTAAGTATAAGAGGACACAAAATGCTCATGGCTCTTAAGAGTAAGGGCTCAGAGTGCAAGAGCGACCCATTTGACCCTGAAAAGAAGAGAAGGGACAAAACGTTTGGCTCAGGGACACGGAATATCGAACTCCCGGAGCTCCTGGGTACTAAGACCTTGGTTCACGTTCAACGTAAAACACGTTGCTGAAGCTAAGGAGAGATGACACCTATAGAATTTAGCCCTGAAACAGAAATGGGTCAGCTAGCCATGCCTACTATTTTGCTGTGCAGATTATGGGACTAAGAATAGTATTTTGTGGTACAGATCTGCATACAAGTGAGAAGCTCTTTGAACAGTGTGGAGATTTCTCCTCAATAAACTAAAAGAATTAATCATGGATTAGATTTTACATTTCAGGTGTGATGTTTAGAAGAGATCAAAGGCTCACTTCTGTTTACTAATCAGAAGCACTTGCTATTTCTCTGTGTAAGTAGCTGAGTATGCTGCAGAGGAAAGACTGCTCTTAAAAAAGCTTTCTGCAAGACAGGTCGAGACGATCACAGAGTTAATTTTATAGAACGATACTGGAAAGTTAATGAAAAAAGGATGCCATTGCCTGATTAGTATGCATCCAGGTTCCTTACCCTCATCTTGCTCAGGTTTCTGTAGTCATAATAACTCTCATACTGCTCTGCAATCTTCCGGCACAAGATGATGCCGTTCTCCCAACACTGTGGACAAACGAATGATATGAATGCTGATGCCCACGACATTTACTTATTTTCACCCAGAGGTCAGGGTGGGACTGCTTTCAGATCATCAAGCCTTACTTCTTAACCTTTATAATCTACCTTTAATAGTATCACTGCCACTTTAAGCTTGATAACAGCATGCATTGAACATGTAAATTATTAAAAATCCTTAGGAAGTGAGAAAATATAATCCACCACAACAGGCATTAACATATGGTGTGGAAACATTTTCCGGTGCCATTTCAGAATCATCGTCTTGAAATAACTACAGTTCCACCATGGCCAAGTAGATGAATAAATGGGCCCTCGGTGCTAAGGAGGGAATTACCATTGACCCCTAAGGCCCAATTATCCACAGCTGGATTCCTTGCTTGGCTCAATTGCACTTGTAAATTGTGAGGATCTAACCCAGCTGGTTACTTTCAGCAGAAATGCAAAAATTCTTTCGTCTAGCCCAAGTGTCAGCAAACTTTTCTGCACAAGGCCACACAGTAAATAATTCAGGCTTTGTCACAACTACCCAACTCCACCATTAAAGCACAAAAGCAGCCAAAATGGATAAGCTTGTCTGTGTTGCAATAAAACTATCATCTAGGGACACTGAAATGTGAATTTCATGTAATTTTCATCTGTCAGATATTCTTTTCCTTGTGGTATCATTCAAACACTTAAAAATGTAAAAGCAATTCTTAGAATGTGGGCAGTACAAAAATGGTGGGTGGTGAGCCATTTGACCCAGGGGCCATAGTTTGTAACTCCCGATCTAAGCAAAAACCCCTTGGAAGGGCCAAGATAAGCAGAACCGGGATTTTATAACAACTTATCCTATAGATGGAAACTTCACTGGAGGAGGATGCAAAGGCATTTCCTTGCTATTAATGTAACAAATGATATGTCAGGGTATTTAGGTACATAATAAAGGAGGATAGGAAAGAGGCAATTTCCTTGCATCAAATTATGCAATTATATTTTGTAAAAGAATGACAGCAACTGTTTGTATTTTAGTCTCCTGTTTAACCTTGGCATTTTGAGAGATATATTTAAATCGAAGACACCAAAAGCATCCAAATGTTCAAATCAAATAAACAACTGTTGTCAGATTCTTAAGTCTTCCTAAAGGGTATTGCAAGACCTTGAAGAGGGAGATGGGGTGGAGTGAGGTAATGGGCTGAATGGCATCATCAAGTCAGTGAGGTTTTTTGATACCCCGTGGCATCTCTTAAAACTATGACGGGATGCCATAACATTCTTTAAACAAAGTTAGTTTCGTTTATTTTGCCTTACCAAAAAAGTGGAATGGGGTGGAATGGGGCAGAATACATGCTAACCTGGGGAGATAGGTGAGGGGTGATAATGGTTTTTCAGAGAATAGGATACCTGGGTGTCAAAACCTACGGACCAGTGTTTTTCAGAGTATAGGCCCCAATTTGTACACATTGCAATCTCAAGTCCTTGTTCAAGTCACAAAATCCCCTGTCCCATGCCAGACATGCCCAGTCAGAATGTCCAGAGGTGGGACCTGGGAATTTCAGCAAACTCCTGGGTGTTTTTAATGCACATTAAAATCTGAGGGTGCCTGGCTTGAGGTGGGCATGAAAAAACTATAAATGAAAGGTAACATGACACCAACAGACCACCTTGAGAGAGGCCGTGGGTGGGTAGGGCTACTTACTTTGCCTCGGTCAAAATTTTGGATGATAGCCAGGTGCAGGTGCTCCTTGCGCTGCCATTCTGTCTGCATAGGGTAGGTCAGGAACTCCCGGAGGGGCCGATCGGACCATTCCAACAGCTCATCGTATAACAGGAGAGTATATGCAGCCTCTGAAAGTTGAGTGGGAAGGCAATGATCAAGACAGGACCCCTGAACAGCCTCCCCTCCAATGGGGCTGGTTTGGGGCAAATTGGAAAAAATATTTTTTGAATTTCATGATAATGAAGAAAAATGTTCAGGATATATGCAAGAGCCAGTTAGTGAGTGATGACTTCCCCCTGGAAGATGGAATTATCAGAGATTTGTATTTCATCTTTTGGCTCCCTATGTTCATTCTTCCCCTCACTTCTCTCTTTCTCTTTCTTGCCTTCTCTTCCCATCCCTCTTCCTTGTTTCTACAATGCCTGTACGCTGCTGGCATAATAAAAATGTTTAAGGATATATTGTTGGAGCTTGTTCAAAGAAATAGGGAGACATGCCTTTGACTGTTGGGGAAGTTCACTGGTAAATCCCTTGGGGTGAGACTATGGGCATCTTCCAAAGGATGTGATTAGGAAACAAAAAATGGTAATTAAATTCTTTTTGATAAGAAAAGGCTGAAAAATTTGAAAATAGTGTTTGGTGGCAGGGTTAGGGTATAGGCAGAATTTGGGAGTGACAAAGAAGCCAGAGAGGAGCTAAATGCAGAGAAGAAAAAGAAAAAAAAAAAATCTAGTAACAGAGGAGGGATTAGAAAGGGCAGAAGTGTTGGTAAGAAGTGTGTGTGTGTGTGTGTGTGTGAGAGAGAGAGACAGACAGACAGAGACACAGAGAGAGACGACTATTGTGTGTTGTGTGGTATGACCCTCAATTGGCCCCACAAATCTTCAGTAAAAGTTACTTAAGTCATTACATGTTTGGTGCAGTTGGGATTTCTTGGGAGAACATGTAAAGAGGTAATATTCTAAAATATTTTTTTAAAAGATTTTTTATTTATTTCACGGAGAGATAGAGAGAGAGCACAAGTGGGCAGAGCAGCAGGCGGAGAGAGAGGGAGAAGCAGGCTCCCCACAGAGCAGGGAGCCCGATTTGGGGCTCTATCCCAGGACCCCGGGCTCATGACCTGAGCCGAAGGCAGACGCTTAACTGACTGAGCCACCCAGGCACCCAAGAGGTGATATTCTGTATACACACATGGAAATGGTAATCCATAGGCTTAAGCACAGTTGACAGGTAGTGCATTTCATAGAGTACTTGCCATTCTGCAGGTCTCTTCCTGAATCTTAAATATGGCCAAACAAATCAATAGGAACCACGGTTCCATTGTCACTGATGAAGGACTCCAATAATTATTTTTTCCTTTAATATTAGAATAGCCAACTCATTTATTAAATGGAATAAAGTAGACAAACCCTTATGTTATTAATCCATTTAATTACCATCCCTGTATGTCTCTTAAAAGATGTAATAGTTGGCACCTGGGTAGTGCAGTCAGTTGGGTGTCCAACTATTGATTTCAGCTTGGGTCATGATCTCAGGGTCATGAGCTCCAGCCCCACGTGGGGCTCCACACTCAGCGCAGAGTCTGCTTGAAATTCTCTCTCCTTCTCCCTCTGCCCCTCCCGCTCGTGCTCTCTCCCTCTAAAATAAATAAATAAATCTTAAAAAAAAAAGAAAAGATGTAATAGTAGCTTTTCACAAAATATCAATAAATAGTCATTCTTAATCTTCATTTATTTGCCTTAAGAGTAACTACACATAAAGCTCTAAAGTGGCAGGTTAAGTCCTATTACTATGATTTGGCCATCTCAGTGTGTAAAATGTAGTTGTAGGAAGAAAGGCCTGGGTCCCTATCACTTTTCTCTTGCCTCTTACTTGTGGAAGTCCTGTGAGGCACAGGCTCTGGCCTTTTTTCTTCTTAATTACCCCTGGTGAGCTTAGTCTCCTGGCTTCAATAACTGCAAAAGCTTTCATACCCCACCAGCAGTCTCTTATTCCCCTCTGTTCAGTTTGCACATGGTTACCAGTATGATCTTTCAACTGCAAAGGATCATATTGCTCCCCTGATTCAAAGTAGCCAGTGACCCGCAGTAGCTAACAGTAAATGTAGGCTTCCTAAAGGGACAGAGAAGGCTGGCCATGATCTGGTCCCTACCAACCTCTGCTCACATTCCCCACTGTCCCTCCTCATAGTACACGTAAGAAGGAGCTCACCGATGTTTCTCCTAAGAAGCCTCCAGCTTCCCTGGTTGGAGCCCCTTGACCCCATCATCAGCTTTTGCTGAATGAAACAAGATGCATCCTGATCCGGAGGCAGCTGTACCAGAAAGCTGCCCAAACGGGGACAGAGGTACCTTCTGTTTTCATGGGCACTAGTCAAATTCTATCTGTCGCAGTTGTATGCGACACGGCCAGAGGAGAGTATCGGCTAAAGGGTATTGGTTAATTGGCGGATGCAGAAACAGAGCTGAATTGCCACAATGCAGGTTGCCAAGGAAGACGGCTTTTGATGGGACAAGAATGACAATAATGACGGTCAAATCTGTGCTGTATCTGAACAGCTTTCTAGTTTTCTGAGACCTCCTGAGATGACTTCCTGATCTTTAACTCCCCACATATCCTTACAATAAATGCCAAGCATCTAAGAAAGCCCTATGTGTGTCCTTGTTCCTCTGTCTGTGTGAATAATCCATGGTTCCCTTCCTTTACCACATGGGTGACAACTGCAGCCTCTTACCGACCGCTCCCTCAAGCTTTGGCCCTGCACTGCTGAATAACTCCCTTTTCTCTTAATACACAGCTCTAGAATGATCACTTTTGTCTCTCAGGTTTCTTTTGTGTCTCCCCCAGTACCCGACAACTCAAAAAATACCCTTGCGAGTAATCATTTCCTAGTGAAAAGGATGAAAAGGACCAAGCAAACCCCTTCCCCCGGCTGAAGCCTTCAGCTGCCCACAGGGAGTGACTGAAAGGGCCATGAAGGTCAAATTCACGGAGCCAGAAAGTAGAATGGTGGATGCCAGGGACTGGGGGGAGGAGAAAATGGGAGGTTACTGTTTCATGGGTACACAGTTTCTGGAGATGAAAAAGTTCTGGAGACCGAGAGCGGGGATGGTTGCTCAACCATGGGAATCGTACTTCGGGCCACTGGGCTGTACACGTAAAAACGGTTCAGACGGTAAATTCTATGTTGTGTATATTTTACCATAATAAAAAAAACTACAAGGGTTGGGGGCAATGAAGGGTTTTTAGTCCATCTCAACTGCTTTCCAAATCATGCTTGCCCTGGGGTGGTTCAGGGGTGAGACAGAAGATGAGGGGTGGGTGTGCCCCTGTGGAGTCTGGAAGGACAAGCAGGAATTGGCAAGCCATCAGAAGAAGCTGACCAATGACTGAATGGTGACATGGAAAGGTGTGGAATAAATGACAGCTGTCTCAGAATCTGATTCCGGAAAAGGATGATGTCTCTCAGGGGTCAATGGTGTGTGTGAAGGAAGCTGTAGAAACTTTACGTGAAAGCACACAGATATACCTTGGAGGCGTGACCGACACAGGAGACTACTGAGGCTGATTTTAAACACATTAGCAAACTGTAGATGTTTTAGTGCAATACGTCGGGTATTTATTCTTCTGCATCTTAAGAAGACAATAGTATGTATTGAAGAGGGAAGAATGAATCACATCCCAAATTTCCAGCCATCTTTTTAAAAAGTATTTAGAATTTTGGACAAAAGGCATCGCCGCATAATTAAACATGGGCCATCTCGCTCCATCATCTTGACAAGTGTACAGGGAGGACATCCACATGAGACAAGAAAAAACCATAGGAGAAGACTAGAGATGAATTAGGAATGGAGAGTACTGTCACAAAAGGCTGCAAAGGGTTAAAGCCATTTAAACAGAATCCTATAAAGATAGAAAAGTTTCCCCATTAATTTCACTTTCTTCAAGGACACATAAAAATGAGGACAGAGGAGTGATGAGTAAAATGTTGCAGGGGAGGAGGACTTATTTCTTATGACTTTGGGGAACATAAATACCGCAAGTTCAGTAAACAAATTAAAGAAAAACTATTTGCCCATTTCTAAAATATAATCAGACAGATTTGGACTCTGTTTCAGAGAACAGTTATGTAGCTGGAAGAGCTTGTCCTTAGTTCCCTCCCTCATTTCTTTTTTAATGGACTTTAAAATAAGTCCACTAGGTAGTTTTCATAGCTATAAAAACTACGCTCACCATTTCTCTCAAAATTTGGCTACTAACTACTATAAAAATAGTCATTTAAACTCTCAGACAACATACCTCCAAAATTTTAGTCTAACCAAAACCATCAACACATCTGTGTGAAGAGATACTGGGACTTCCTTAGTGACTCAGGAATATCAATATTGAAGGAAAAAAATCTCTGCAGGTCTTAAAATTTAACTGAGTAAATTTATTGGTGATGCATTTATTTAAATCTCATGTTGCAGGGGCACCTGGGTGGCTCAGTCAGTTAAGCATCAGACTCTAGGTTTCGGTGCAGGTCATGATCTCAGGGTCGTGAGATCCAGCCCAGTGTCAGGCTCTGCGCTGGGTGTCAGGCCTTGAGATTCTCTCTCTCCCTCTCCCTCTGCCCTATCCCCACTTGCGCACGTGTGCTCGCTCTCTCTCTCTAAAGAAAAAAAACTCACATTGCTGGACACTGAAATGAGAAAACTAAGAAGAAGAAAACATCATCTCTGTCTTCAAGGAATTCACCTTTTAGCTATCTACCTACATATACATACAAACACACACACACACAAACACACCTCTTATATAACTGTTAAAAACAATGTGGTAAGTACTTTTTTTTTTTTTTTAAGATTTTATTTATTTGCGAGAGAGAGAATGAGAGACAGAGAGCATGAGAGGGAGGAGGGTCAGAGGGAGAAGCAGACTCCCTGCTGAGCAGGGAGCCTGATGTGGGACTCGATCCCAGGACTCCAGGATCATGACCTGAGCCGAAGGCAGTCGCTTAACCAACTGAGCCACCCAGGTGCCCCAATGTGGTAAGTACTTTAATGAAGCCTGAAAAAGGTGCAGTGGAAAAAGAGTTGGAATCATGAACTCAGCCCATGGGAGAGGGGTGGTGGGGGGGCATGGAGTTGCCGTGGGAAAGAAAAGGAAAAGAATTCTGGGAAAAGATGGTAAAAGCACACGCCCTGAAGGATGGAGACAAGGAATGTAGTCCAAGTGGTAAGATGAGGCTGCAGAGATAGGTGGTGTTGGTTTTATTACGATGGACCTTGAATAAAGAGTTTGAACTTTTTTTTTTTTTGTAGAAGATACCAACTGAAAACAGTTATATCTAGAGAACGGGCTGGTGAAATTGTCTTAAAGGGCCAGACAGTAAAAACTTTATAATTATAATAACTTATAACGATTTATAATCTAGCTTGCAGGCCACATGGTCACTGCAACTACTCAGTTCTGCCTTTTGTAGGTACAGAAGAAGCCACAGACCATGGCCGCTTAAGTGGGTGTGGCTGAGTTCTAATAAAACTTTCTTCACAAAATCAGGTGGTTGGTCTGCAGGCTGTAGTTTCTGTCCCCTGCTCTGGTGCTAATTAAGAAACAGCCCAGGTGTGAGATGATGAGGGCCTAATGGAGGCAGCTTGAGTGGGAACAATGAAAAGGACGTGGTTTTGAGAGATTGTTAGGAAGGGAAATCAACAGAACATGGTGACTGATTATTTGAGGGAGGCTCAGAGATACCAAAGAGAACATCAAGATCTCCACACTGAGAAGAGAGTGATGCTGTTAATCGATACAGTGAAACTAGCTGGAAGCATTATTTAAAATCTGGCCACACAAGGACCATCTCAGAAAGGATTGCTTTCTTTTAAAGCTGGAGGAGGGACCACAATTCAGGAGTTCCTGGGAGGAACGGTGAGGCAAAAGACTCAGATTTATAGTTCCTACAACCAGTTAAAGGGTTCTTTTCTGGTTACGATGTAGTGAGCACCTTGTATCGTATCTTTCCCCAACTAAAAACCCTAGGCATGATATATAAGGTAACTCTTGGAGGATTCTGAAGAGTAAATAAGAGAAGGTGGGCAGAGTAAGAAAATCAATACTCAAAGAATGATCATAAAATAGTGAGTTCGCAGTTTTTATTTTTTTGCCTTTCATATCTCCTGGCTTTGCCGTCCTGGTCTCCTGGAACCACAAAGGGAAACGGAAAGAAAAGCTCCCAGGAAATTTCCTCTGGTCAGAGGGTTGAGAAGAGGACCCTTCTGGGGGATGGAGTCCTTTTGACCTTCTAGCCTCCCCCCAAGTCCTGGGAACACGGCACAAAGCTGCGGTGCACACAGGGAAGGCTTCACAGTGGAAGCAGAGGCATCCCCGGCTTTTTTATGTTCAGTGCTTGGCCCCCAGGAAGACCAGCTATAGGGAATGCATCACGGTGTGGGGAGGATCAAGTCTTGGCTTTGACTAATTTGGCTCCGATTAAGTGAGAGTGCTAGGAAAAGGAGCCCTTGGGAGATAGGAAAAGTGAGGAAGATCATAGAGAGGAGGCACATAGAGAAAGGGATTTTTAAATGTTGTGTATGATGTCCTGGGCTCACTTGCAAGTTGCACGTACACTGAACAGACCAGAATCAACATAACAAAGCTTTTGAGAAATGAACTATGGTACGGACCCCTGGTTAGGTCCCAGGCTCTCCCTGGGTGACATATATGCGGGACAGACCAGAACAGTACGGCGAAGGCTTTGAAAATTAAGTGGACATTGGAATCACAACCTTCAGAAGGTGGTTTAGGACTTGAGGTTTGAATCTAACCGGACTGTCTGCTGAAATTAAAACAAAACAAAACAAAACAAAACAAAACAAAACCCCTCAACATTCTCCAGAAGGTTTTAACAGAACCCAGAGTCTCATAATATTCAAAATGTTCATGAAACAACCCCAAATGACTTGACATTCAAAGAAACAGGATAACTGAAAAGTTTCAAAGGGAAAAGGCAATTAACAGATGCCCATCCCAAGATTCAGTTGTTGGATTTACAGATAAATACTATGAAGCAGCTATTATAACCATGCTCCTTAAAGTAAAAGGGAACACTCTTGAACAGAAAGATACAATTTCCCTACAAAGAAATGGAAGCTAAAAAAAAGAAAAGAAAAGAAAAGAAAAAAAAGCAAAAATGGGAAAGGAAATTTTAGAAACAGGTGATACAGTAACAAAAATTAAAATTTCACTGGAAGGGCTCAGTAGCTGAATGGAAATGGCACAGAAGAATCTGGACTTGCAAATGGACCAGTAGAAATTACCTAATTTGAACAAGAAAGAAGAAAAATTGGGACAAAAAATGAACAGAGCCCCAAGAACTTACAGAACAATACCAAAAGGCCTAGCATTCATGTCCCTTCTAGTTCCAAAAGAGAAGGACCAGTGCAGAAAATACATTTGAGGAAATAATGCCTGAAAATTCCCAAATCTGGTGAAGGAAATAAGTCTGTAAATTCAAGAAACACCATGGACCCAAACAGGATAATCTTAAAGAAAGCCATGCCCATATACATCATAATCAAACTGCTGGAAACCAAAGATAAAGTCTTGAAAGCAAGCAGAGAAACTTATACATTACACACAGGGACACAATTTAGATGACGGCTGATCTCTCATAGGAAACCATGGAGGCCAGAAGACAGCACAGCAACATTTTTCAAATACTGAAACAAAAGAACTATCGAACTAGAATTCAATATCCAGCAAACGTATCCTTCAGGGATGAAGGCAAAATGAAGACATTCTCCGATGAAGGAACACAATGAGAAATTCTTCACTGCTAGATCTACTTTTTTGTTGTTGTTTTGTTTTTAAAGATTTTATTTATTTATTTAAGAAAGAGAAAGAGAGACAAGGAGAGGGAGAGAGAATCCGCAGCAGACTCCACACTGAGCACAGAGCCCAGAGCCCTACTTGGGGCTTAATCCCACAACTGTGAGATCATGACCTGAGCAGAAACCAAGAGTCAGCCGCCCAACTGGCTGAGCCACGCTGGTGCCCCTCACCACTGGATCTACTTTTTTTTTTTTTTTAAAGATTTTTATTTATTTGACAGAGAAAGACACAGCAAGAGAGGGAACACAAGCAGGGGGAGTGGGAGAGGGAGAAGCAGGCTCCCCGCAGAGCAGGGAGCCCGATGCGGGGCTCGATCCCAGGACCCTGAGATCATGACCCGAGCCGAAGGCAGACGCTTAACGACTGAGCCACCCAGGCGCCCCACCACTGGATCTACTTTAAAAGAAATATGAAGACAAGTTCTTTAGGTTGAATAAAAACAGTAACAAAGAGGAACTGAGAACTTCCATGAAGGAAGAAAGAGCAACACAAACAGTAAATATATGAACAAATTTGACAGACTATTTAATCCTCTTAAATTCTTTAAAATAGGTATAACTGTTAAAGTAAAAATTACTTTATCCGGTGGGGTTTTCAATGTATGCACACGTAATACGTAGGACAACTACAACATAATGTTATTTAACTTGAAGTGGTAAAATACCAACTGTAAGTATGATGAGAAGTGAGATATGCATTTTGTACTCCCAAAAGCAACCTCTAAAAAACAATGCCAAGAGATATAGTAAAAAAGCCAGTAAATTAAAATGAAGTACCTAGAAACATAGATCCAATTAAAAATTTCAATTTCAAAGTACAAATGCTTGAGTCCTCAGCTCTAATTATCCAAAGCAAAGGAGTGACCAGTGTCCAGCCCACTCTCCTCAGCCTGAGCCAAAAGACAGAATTACCTGTGAAGTTTTGCGCTTTGAGATGCAGATCATAGAGTTTGTGGATGTAGCGTATATACATCTCTTCCTTGTTTAGTTCAGTCTTATAGAAGTTCTGTAAAGAAGCATACAAGTACGGATCATTCCTCAACAGTTAGACCTGCAAACAGCTGCTTTTTACTCTGTGAAGTTCCGTGTCTGGAACTGTAAGAATGGATGTATTTTTCCATATAAATGTCTTTTTAAAAATTAAGGAAGGAGGCCCAGTGATATACTTTTAATGCAACACTGTGTTAAACATTACTTAGCAATTATTGGATAAGCTCGTAATACTTGGGGAGTGTTACTGCCAGCGACTCACATTTCTTTGGTACTCTATTATTTTTTTGTTAGTGTTACTGCCTATTCAACTAAAAAAATACTAAAAATAACATAACAGATGAATCTGCTTACTAAACCTGAGCACCGATATTCAAAGGATAGCTTAATTTCAAATTGTAAACATATTTGCTCTGAAGAAAAAAAAAGTTTCTAAGATCTATAGGTAAGGATGAATAAAAATAATGTAAAAGCATTTTTTCTTCCCCTGAAGAATCACATAAAAGAGGGTAAATGAAAATGCTCTTTATTGGTAAGGTATTATTCTGAGTTTCTTACTTGTGTTGGAGTTTCAAAATCTCCAGTAAAGGGATTATTAACAAGAGATTTCAAACTATTATTAGAGGGGCATGCTTATCGAAGATATTTTATTTTTAAAAAAGTATCTGGATCTTACTAACCTTCTCTAAAATGTTTTAACATTAGTTATGAAAGATTCAACTTTGACATACCTGGACACATTATGTTGGCTCTTTAAAGCTGTAAGCTATAAACACCCACACGTACTCCTTCACCACATCCTACAAAGTACCTTAGCCCTCACTGAACTTAGTAAATATAGGAACAAAAACGTACATGACATTAAGTTCCAGCAAAAGCAGGATGTCGTGAGGTTCTAAATGGGGCACTTATTGTTAGCAGATCATTGTGCATTATGAAATCGCTGCACAAGCCCTCTGAACTGTTATCACTGTTGTTGACTGATCCTCGCTGGTATGGGGAAGAAGGGAAAATGAGCAGTGATAGGGGGATAAATCCAGTTGACCTGAAGGAGTGACAGGTTTTCCTTAAGGGGGAAAGACCAGGAATTCTAAAAATCTTTGAAACTGATTAGCTAGGCAGGGCTCTGGTGATGAACCAAAGAGCCAATGTGGTTGCTTAAGTTGCACTTGGCTTCAAGCCTGCGGACCTTCTGTCAAATGTACTTTCTGTCCACTACCTAATAGTGTCTGTTCTCCAATATGAGAACTCTTATAACCTTGAGACACTGACATTTAGTTGAATGCCTCATAGATTTTTTTTCTTCCAATTTATACCATTATCCTCTCCCTTTTCCTCTTGTCTCCTATAGATCTTGGCATTCCTTAAAAATCTAAGTAAATAATGTTATTCACATCTCTCTTACTATGAACAAAATCATTTTAATTAGCAAGATTTGTTGTACTATAAACACAAGTCTAACAACCCCACAGCAGGCTTTTTACTTTGCTTTAATAGCTTTCTGGTAAGAAGCAGCATTTTTGGGGGAACAAAATAAGCGATCACTCTGTAAGTGAATAAAAAAAAAAAAAGAAGAAACATCTCTCCAGTCAGCAGATGAGAATTTTTCACATATGTCTGGCAAAACTTGTGACACAAAGAACAAAACAATAATTGCATTTCCTAGTATGAGTCATGTCAAACATTATGCATTTTGACCAATTTAACACTACAGTTTAACTTCAATCTTGTGAAGGAAGCCAGAGCTCTCCTGAAGACAACCTTGAATTAATCTTTCCAAAGAGTTAAGGAAAATCTCTAAGAGGAAGTGAGTAGCTGAAGACAACCATATTACTACTAGAAAACATCAAGAACTTTCCATATGGACTAGAAGCTAAAAAGATTAGCTTCAAAGTTACATATTTGGCACTTTGTAATAAGCATTCTTGTGCTAGTTTGAAATTAGAACAGCTTTCAAAATGTTAACATTTTCGGGGCACATGGGTGGCTCAGTCCGTTAAACACCTGCCTTTGCTCTGGTCATGATCCCAGGGTCTTGGGATCGAGCCCCGTGTCGGGCTCTCTGCTCACTGGGGAGCCCGCTTCTCCCTCTCTACCTGCCTCTCCCCCAGGTCATGCTCTGTCTCACTCTAAATAAATAAATAAATAAATAAATAAAATCTTTTAAAAAAATGTTAACATTTTCTATAAAGACTGTTCTTGGTCAATGCAAAGCCAAAAGGATAAATTCTTTGTGTCAAGTGAATCCTGCTGGGGCCACTGATTTTATTAGGTCTCTGGCTGATTCCTACTGGGGGACTACACATATTTCGGGCAGAGCATTCATTCTGTCATCCAAGGAAATGATCTCTTCTGTTACGCCACCTGAGGAAATGAACCCAGAGTCTGCATGTACCTGTTTACCTCCACACAGAAGGCACCGTGGCAGAAGATGGAGACAAGGGAAGAAGGTTCTTCTGGAAAAAGGTCAAGGTTGTCCTTTGAGGTTATTTATGCAACTCTGTGGCCAGCGTTGGGGAAAAGCTGGGGTTAAGCAGATGGACTAAGAAGACTGAAAGCTCACAGAGCACTTGGCTCTTCTGCCCAAACACTGATGCACAGGTAGGGACATAGAGGCAGCTCAGGCTGAGGATCTCGAACGTGGTAAAGGGTGGCAGTAGCAGACAAGATAGTGGGGAAGACTTAATAATGACGATGTTTGAGGTTAGAAATGAGGGCTCAGAGGGGAGGTGAGTGGGCTGACCTTGTGAGTCTGGCCTGGGGGCCTGAGGTCACTGCTGGGTCTGATGACAAAAATTATGTCAGAAAGCGCACCACAAGATGGGGCTGGATAGAGGACTCTCGAGTCTCACTATTTTTAGTGACCGAGTTTGGAGGTGGGGATGTGGGACAAGAGTTCAAAATGCGGAACAAAAAAATTTAAAAAAATAAAGAAAAAAAATGTGGAACAATCAGTGGGTGTGGTAAAGAAGGACACAGGCATCTACTCGGAGGTGAAGCAGAGTGCAGTGAGGACACAAATTAGGGAAACTGATAACAAGAGAGCAGAAGTCCTGAGCTTTGACAAGGGGCTGTGAGGGGAAGAGACAGAACAGACTGGAAAGACTGCAGCCAGTGAGCTAGGACAAGACAGATGAGGGTGGGGGCAAAAGACACTTCCACGGTGACAGCAAAGAGAGACCAGCAGGGCATGTGAGCGATTCCAACAATTAGAGTCAGGAGAAGAACGTCTGTACAAGTACTTAGAATAGCTGATGAAGTTTCATCTATTCTGCAATATGAGAAAAAGAAACCATGGCACTCACAAATTTAGACCTGGAAGCAGTCACATATTCCTGTATTTCATATCTGACTAAGGGAAACTTTCAAAGGCATCAATATACCCTATATATATATTTATATATATAGGGTATATATATATATATATATATGAATGTCTCTATGTATGGTCATTCTTTAGTTCTGTGGTGAGAATACCATCCTTTTTATCAGTTAGTGATGAGACATTTTCATACAATTTACTTTTCCAGGACAATTGTGGTTTAGCTTGTCTTCCTTATGTAATATTTAATTTTACTCCTAAAAAATGTCCTCTTTGGGTGATCAATTATATGGTCATTGCAGTTATAATGCAAAACTTCACAATAGTGGTATTAGACAATTTGCAAACAAGCTAGAGAGTGGAAATTAGTATGTTAAACAGAAACTGTCATTTGTTCACAGAAGAAGAGATGACTAATATTCATTAAAATGTAGAATGAATATAAGAAGGACAGAAAGAAACTGTCTATATAGAAGTAAAAAGACCTCTATCTGGGGACATGGTGCCTTCTTCTAGGAAAGCCACAGAAGACTCCCCGATGGTAAAGCTCCACAGGAGAGGAGGGGGCATTGCTCTCTGATCTCGCAGAGCCTCAGGGCATGCAGTGCGTGCATTCTGCAATGTTCGCAGCTGAGAATTTTCTGGGATTTAATTCGACCTGAAGCTTGCTATGCTTCTTTTGAAAACACTTCCAAGCTCTTCTAAGAAACAGCCAGATAAAAACACATTGTAAACTAAAAACAAACAGTACTTCTGTGAAAAATCAAATGTTAGGATAGAAGGAGGAAAAGGGGAATAGTTTACTAACCAGAAGGCTAACTGTGCAGCCAATCTTTTTGCCATCTACCTCTCCCATTTTCATGCAGTCCCTAAAAACAAAAAGCAAGAGTCAGAACTCAGAACTTCCTTATTAGGGACAAACACAGTTTCGTCTGGGGGAGGGGGGGTGGGGAGTACTGTCAGAGACCTGAGGCAAATCGCAAGTTGCTGTTGAGAAGGAGGCTCTGGGGACTAGGGGAGTGGCCCCAGGCTGTAGGATCTCAGGTGAGACACTCCTGAGCACCAGTTTCTGCTGCGCATTTCCCTTGCCTATGGGCTCTGCTCCCTCTCAGTAGCGTGGGGTGGGGGTGGGGGTAAATAAATAAATAAATAAATAAATAAAATCTTTTAAAAAAATGTTAACATTTTCTATAAAGACTGTTCTTGGTCAATGCAAAGCCAAAAGGATA